GGGCAGCGTACAGCCCAGACGCGTCTGGGCTGTCCGCTGCCCGCGTGCTCCGCCACTTTGCTTCCTCTCCCTGGTCTGCTGGAGACCAGGGAGACGGGCCCCATTCATAACTGTGGATCTGACGTAAGTCGGATCCGCGTAACTCGGGGACTGCCTGTAGTCACTTTTCAAAATAAGACTTATAAAGTAGGTTAAATTTGGCACCTAAACTACTTATGTGTTCCTCTAATTCTCTAGCATTAATTGTTGAAATTCCTATTGTACTTACACTTGCATATCACTTGGCTAGGTTTAAGTCAGGTGACAGCCTAGGAAGTTAAACTTTTTACTGTGACAGAAATTTTCTAGGATAAATAATCTTTGCTTCTATATATGACTGATTTGTTCAGAGCAATAAAAAACTGTGGATGCTTTAAAGACGTTGGGAGAGGGGTATGCAATATGCATTAAATGTGTTAATTTGAATATAACCATGTTCCTCATTTTAGTAATGTGAAATTAATTTAACAAATCTACTTAAAGATAAGTAAAATGGAACTTTTTAAAACTAGATCCACCATTATTTGATTCTTGCATATTTTTTCCTGTTTAAGATTACCAGCAATGCCACCAGTGACCTAAATATAAAGGTTGATGGCCGTGCCATTGTTCGTGGAAATGAGGGAGTTTTTATCATGGGCAAGACCATTGAGTTTCGTATGGGTGGTGATATGGTGCTAAAGGCAGTAAGTATTTTAAACTGAGAAAATGATTTCTAATAGATCCATGTTAAAACAAGAAAAAAAATCGGCTTAATTTTTTTGATGTATTCAAATCTGTAAATTGACATAAAAATATAGTTTAGTAGCATTCAATTTAATTTTATTAATTTCTAGTACTATAAAAACACGTTACAATTTTTCATCTTTTAAATTGGTGACTCAAAAACTTTGAGTAATTATTTCATACACTGCTCTTTTATATGTTAATGATGTGGTCAGTGTGAGGTGGAGAAGAGGTTAAGGAAAAAATAGAAGATTTTAGAAAATTGATGATTAAAGTCTAATTTATGTGGTTTATAAGTCAGTTTGGCAAGCTCGTTGTATTGTGCATCACAAATATAATTATCACAAAATTAGTAGCCTGATCATATTGGCCTATGAGTAGAGTAGCAAGATATGTTGAGGGTCAGAACTGAGATGTGTGAGCACTACATTCAATAGTGATTTTTTTTAAATAAAATTGTTATGCAAGGACTTAAGATGGAAACAAAATAACCTCTCTGTTATCTTTAGAATAACTTTGAAAATAAGCTATTAAGTTTACATTCTTTTAGAAAGAAATACCTTCTTCTAGGTGATAATTATATAATTATTATTTTATTAGGAAAACAGCATTATCTTAAATGGAACTGTAATGCTCAGCACATCTCGACTGCCAAACTCTTATGGGGAAAAGTTTAATAATGTTGACTGGCTGCGCTACAAGCTCTGTATGTGTGCAGATGGAACTCTATTCCGAGTTGAAGTGAAGACCCGCAACATGGGTTGTCAAACCTCAGTCAACCCTTGTGGAACCACACACTAAACACAAAGCACTGGAACAAGAGGAGTCATGAAGAAAGTTCATTTACATTTTTACGTGTGTGTATAAAACAATTGCATGCCATTTATTTCTGTTTTTACGACAGTTTATTATGTTTTATTACATAACATTTTTAGCACGTTTTTATGTTTGTTACATAATTTCAGTATTTACAATAGAGTATCATAATAATGGATCTGATTTAGCAAGATACTTAAGCATATACTTCATCCTTGTTCACGTACTTTACTAAATTGAAGTTTCTGGAAATCTGGGTGAGATACAGAATTGTGAGGATGCACGTTGTTCCACAGAGCCCTTTTGGTGTTGTGCAGATTATCCGTTAAGAAGCACACTGTGGGATAACTTTAGTAAGAAGAAATCCCTGGCAGCATGGCTTCATTGGAAATATGCTCTGGGGGGATACTAGGAACTCAACCACAAAGGAACAATTGGGAAGGATCTTGCCAGTTCTTTAGAGATAAATTCTATAAGAAGGAGCCAAAGAATAATGTGGCTTCTTTTATATAGATGTATTTTATGATTATTTTCAGCCCACTCTCAACCAGACCTTCATTTTAAGCACTAGTAATTATTTAGTGTGACGTCAAGGTCAGTCATCCAAATAACTGCTTTGTAGTGACAATCTGTGCCTGACATCTAAAGTAGTCTTTTCTCCATCTCCAAATAACCATATTTACACATTGAAAGCTAGCCCTGTTTTTGCATCCAAAACTGTAAATGCAGTGAAATCTTTAGTCAAGTAGATTCAGTTTTTATTTGCAGTTGATGCATATTAACTGTTGAAATTTTAAGATGAACTCTTGACGATTTCTTTTGATTATTTTAATTTAACTAGAAACAAAGATATGCTAACATATTTGATCCTTAAGAAGACTTTGAGAAAAATCTGTGCCCAACATTTTAGGCAGAACGGGCAATCGGTTATTGTATATGCTCTGATATTTAAAAGCTTGTATTCTGCTTTGAAAAGCCTCTTTTTTGAGCAGAGCAGAGCAGCATGTATTCAAATAAATGATCATGTAGTAGTAAATATAGAGTTAATACAGAAAGCTGAACTACTACACTAGTCACGTAGGGCATGTCTACACTTCATGGAAGATTGATGCTGCCACTCGATCTTTCTGGTTCGATTTAGCAGGTCTAGTGATGGCCCTCTAGATTGAATTCAGAGGGTGTTCCCTTCAATGCCAGCACTTCTGCTCCTCAGGAGGAATAAGGAAAGTTGATGGGAGCATTTGCTACTGTCAGCTTCCCAGTGTGTGGATGGCACAGAAACGTGATGTAAGGTATGTCGACTCCAGCTATGTAATTTACATAGCTGGAATTGCGTAACTTACTTCAACCTTCTCATGTAGTCGGGGTGGCCCATGGCTATAGACCAACTTGGCCAGCACCCGATGATGACATCATGGGGCGCCCGATAATGACGTCACCACATTGAGGCTGTGCAGGCGGGGGCGCTGATTCCGTGTTCTGCCTGAGGCATCAGCTGCCGCAGCCAGTCTCAGGCCGCTCCTGCATGTAGTGTTAACCAGGCTATAGAAACAAAAGTTGCAACAAAACACTTTTAATAGATATCAAAAGGATAATAGTCTTCCTTGCTTCAGAACATACCTGTGATTTGACTCAGTAAAGAGGGTGGATAGCTAGCTGCTGCCCAGCTGTGAAGATATGATTATTTTTCTTTAGGAAACTAAGTTGCTTCTTTGTAAGGATGTGCCATATTTTATTCAACCAGATGCTTAGAGAAGAAATTGATAGGCAATAGAAAACCATTAAGTATCTATTTAAAAAATTGTGAATGGAATCAACTCTTCTACTTGGAATAGCTGTATCAATAGAAGGCCAATGAACTGATATAGATGTATGGGAAAATCCCATGTCATACTAGCTTGCATATTGACCATTTCTCTAAATATGTATATGATATGCAGTTCTACCATATGTGAACAGAAGAGCCTACAGCAGAATTCCTTTTCATTTCCAATTGCTTCAGCTATGCATTTATCTTTGAAGTACTTAGTTGGCAATACTGAAATCTGGTTTATCAGAATTTTCTTTAACTCCCAGCATTATATCTAAGCACAGCCTAGTTATGCTCTGTTTAAATTATATAAGGTATTTATAAAATATTTTATTTATGCTGCTGTAATGTGTTTCCATGCTATTTTTATATTAGGTTTCCTCTACTATAATAGGGGAACCCAATTTTATTTTGTGTGCCTTAAGAAATATTCTATTGTATTCTATAGATGAGGATTCAGAACACTTATATAACACTATTGTAAGCCATAGTGTTTGAGACCATTACTTTTCTAAATTAAAAAAGTGCAGCTATTTACAAGGACTAGAAATGCACACTTGTTACTAAGTAACCTGGTGTTTAAATTCTGAATTGAGCAAATGATCTAAATATGATAGTAATTTAGGTCCCAATTCTGCATGGTATGGACACATCTGTCAAATTTTAACATCAGTAAGACTAACACATGCTTAAACTTATGCAGGTTCTTATGATGAATTGGAGTTTTAGGGTATGTCTACACAGCAAGGCTGTGTCTACATTGGCATGATTTTGCGCAAAAGCGCCTGATTTTGCGCAAAAGCACCTGCTTTTGCGCAAAAACATGCTGCCTGTCTACACCGGCGGGGAGTTCTTGCACAAGAACACTGACGTTCGAATGTGTGAAATCAGTGCTTCTTGCGCAAGAACTATGATGTCCTGCTCAGGAATAAGCCCTCTTGCGCAACTGTTCTTGTGCAAGAGGCCAGTGTAGACAGGCAACAGGAATTTATTGTGCAAGAAAGCCTGATGGCTAAAATGGCCATCGGAGCTTTCTTGCGCAAGAGAGCGTCTACACTGGCACGGATACTTTTGCACAAAAGCACATCTCTTGTGCAAAAGCACATGCCAGTGTAGATGGTCTCTTGCGCAAATACTTTAACGCAAAAACTCTTGCGTTAAAAGTATTTGTACAAAATCTTGCCAATGTAGACATAGCGCAACATTATTTCGCATAACTAGCATTATTTTGAAATAATTTAGTCCGTGTCCACCCATGCGGCAGTTATTTCGACATATCAAAATACCGTGAAGCTGGAGGACTTATTACTCCAACTCCTGTAACCCTCATTTTATGAGGAATAAGGGAAGGAGGAAGAAGATTGCTCTATTTAGAAATAAGTGCCATGTAGACAGCACCAAAACTCAAAGTAAGCTATTTCAAAATAAGCTACGCAATTGACATAGCTCAATTTGTATAGCTTATTTTGAGTTAAGCCCTACTATGTAGATGCACTCTTAATGAAACCTTTGCACTTAGAGAATAATGGCAGCTTTTATTAAAACCCTCAGCTGTTTTTGGAGAGAATCGTGTATTCCACTGTAAAAATATAAATTTGCTAATTGTATGCCTGTTACACTTACTGCCTTTAGTTTGAAATAGTGTTTTCTAATAACCACTAGTGATCTTAATAATGGAGGCCATGCAAGTGATTTCCTGGGAATAGTTATCAACAGGCTGTACTACACAATACATTTCTAGTACTAGTAGATGTACCAATGTTACATATTAACGTCTCTACTGAACGTGGAACTTATATTTTCAGAAGTTCAAATCTTGTTTTATTTCCTGATGGTCCCCAAAGGTGCAATAGGCATGTCACAGAAAATCATTGTTGTCCCTGCCACAAAGAGCTTATGATGCCAGTGGGACTCTGCATGAATATACCTACATGGAGCTGGTTGCGGGATTGGAGGCTTAGTTTAGATATGATGCAATGACTAAACATGTCAGACAGGAGGGAAAGGATAGGATGAGGTTGAATGAGGGCAACAACAAGATGATTTTTACTCTAGGGCTGTGTCTACATTGGCAAGATTTTGCGCAAAAGCAGCCACTTTTGCACAAAATCTTGCCGCCTGTCTACACTGGCTGCAAGTATTTGCACAAGAACACTGATGTTCTACTGTATGAAATCAGTGCTTCTTGCGCAAATACTCTGATGCTCCCACTCAGGGATAAGTCCTCTTGCGCAAGTGTTTTTGCGCAAGAGGCCAGTGTAAATAGGTAATATCAATTTCTTGCGCAAGAAAGCCCGATGGCTAAAATGGCCATCGGAGCTTTCTCGTGCAAGAGAGCATCCACACTGGCACGGATGCTTTTGTGCAAAAGCAAATCTTTTGCACAAAGGCACATGCCAGTATAGACACTCTCTTGCCCAAATACTTTTAACGGAAAAAACTTTTCAGTTAAAAGTATTTGCGCTAAATCATGCCAGTGTAGACGCAGCCTAGTGGTTTAGTTAAAAAAAACAATAGTGAAAGTAATTCTCACCCACTTCAGATACGAAATAAATGTTAACATTTTGCAAATACACAGCACATTTCATTCTTGGAGCTTAAACTGCTTTACAGAAGTGTATGTTTATTATCTGTATTAATATTCTTTAAAGTATACATTTCCCTCAGCACACAAATTCCTTTGCTGTTTTAAGCATATAGAATTTTTGGGTTATTGCAACATGGCAAAAAAAACCAAAATGAAAAAGCTTTTAGTATTTTCACTATATATTGTTAATGGCAGGCGGATATACTGTGGGCTTCAGCCTCTCTGGTTCAAGACTCTCTGCTCCAGCAACAGGACCACAGATGTTGATGGACCAGAGCCCCCCAGCGGCTGTTGGTTGGGAGTCTGGCAGCCCTAGGGGCTAGCATCGGAGCCCAGCCAGCAGCTATTGGGGGCTGGCAATGGAGCAGAGCCATCCCAGCAGCCGCTGGGGGCCTGGAATGCAGCCCAGCAGTATAGTCTGGCCACCGCCAGAGGCTGGAAGTACAGCCCAGCCCAGCAAGCCTGGCAGCCACCAGCAACCAGGAGCTGGGAACATAGCCCAGCTGCCATGGGGACAAGAGCACAGCCCAGCTGGCAGCCACAGAGAGCCAGAAGCAGGACTAATGGCCAGAAAGTGAGCCAGCCTGAAGGCCAATGTCCAACAGGAGAGCCCTGACCTTCCCTGGTCCTGTAAACTCCCTTGTCCAGAGCCTATCAGGTCCCCAGGGAGGTCCAACATGTAGAAGTTTCATTTTAAAAAGTTTTCAGCAGCACTTTCTGTATAAAAATAGTTGTTAATCAAATGATATTACCTTGATTAAGAAGTAGAAAATCTTTATGGGCACATTGTGGCCTTTACATAGTTATTGGTAACTTTGGTTAGCTACATGCCTGACCATAGGATTGTATACAGTACCTGGATTCAGAGTTCCTCTCACTGAGGTATTTCATGCAAAGAGTGTTTGAATGAACTTGTCTCAAAAACCTGTAGTAGTGTTAAATTATGTTTTTAGATTTGTTTAAAATATCCATTTGTAATGGAAAGCTAGCAAAAATAATCCTTATCCATATAAGGGTCAATATGTATGCTGCATGCTAATTATTTTTAAATTTTCTTAATATATATGACTCTTCCATAAAGTTTATGCCAATTGAAAATATATTGGTGCCATACATCCCCTTTGTTGTGCAATTATTTGTGGTTTAACTGCTAACTGCATCCTTTTATGTTTTCTGGATGTTTTTGTTTAAGTAGAGGATTTCTTGTGTGCACTAGTATTTATTTAACAACTAGGTACAAGGAATATTGAAAGTACAAACTACATGCCTCTGTATAAAATAGTATTATGTACTTTCAAAATGTGGTGTTCTTGAGGAGAGTTATTCTCAGCATGTTTAACAATTATTGTTTCAATATGTAAAACAATGTTTTAGTCCTTGTTTTTGAAGTGAAATAAATATCTACTAAAAATCTAGACTCCTTTAAAATTGTTAGTATGTACTCAATTTAGTTTACAATACTATAGTTTATTGATTGTACAAGTGTTTTATTAACTAGAAGCATGATAATCATTCCACAGCGGTGTGTCAGAATATGACTAGTAGACTTTGCTCCCTGATAAGTATATACAATAGAGGAAATAGGAGTTCAAAAGTCCATGAATTTAGTAGTTCACAAGTTTCTGAGTGACTGCGCTATGGGCTGATCATCTGGGAGAAAAGTAAGAAAACTTGAAAGTAAGTTTTTAGCAACTTCAGACTAAATGTGCATTTTGCAAAGTAATTGTGACGCTTAATGAAATTGAAGGATTAATACAAATTGGCATTGAGATTTTTTTTCTTTAAAGTAACATGTTTACGGTTTTCTGATATTTCTTTTGTCCTCTATTGTAATTGTACATATTTATTTCTAGGTATTATGGCAAATCCTTATGTGAATGTCATAGCTGTGGTCCTTTGCTTGAATTTTACTGGATTGTCAAAGACCAGATCGCAGCAGACTGGTGTTGGTATCTATTACAATTCTGACTGCTGGTGGGATGGGAAGTTCTTGGTGAATTGTTCTTTCACTGGAAAATCTATCCCCACAAACATATCACAAACAGTAACAATAATCAATTTAAGTTATAATAATATTACTACCTTACTGTGGTCTAACTGGAGAGATAAAAAATGGAATATCAAACAGCTGGATCTTAGTAATAACCAGATTTCTGAGCTGTCTTTAAATAGCTTTAGAAATTTACCACTTTTGGAAACTAAATCTGAGTGGAAATATCATTCACTACATCATACTGGATTTACATAAACCTGCACACTAGACTGATAAATATAGAAAAGTTAATACTTATGATCTTCTTCCTTCTTTAAAAGTCTTGTCCATCGAGAGAAATAATCTTAATGCAATTCCAAAAGGTGAGTAGCAGTCTAAGAATTGACTTCCAATATATGATTTTGTATATTGTTTTAATTAATCAGTTGTGTTTATTTAAATCTGAATCGCCTTTAATTCCATTTTACATGTCCTGATCCACAAAAGATCATAACAGGATTTACAGGCTTTTCTATATCCTCAAACATTAATGACTGTGGTCAACACCCTGTGAGGTACATATCGTCTCCCATTTGATAGATAGAGAGCAAAGGCAAATCTTTGGGGAAGCTGGGAACAACATGCAGATCTCCTGAGTTACAGTCCAGCATCTTATTCACAAGAACATCAGTAGAGAGGGGTGAGGAACTTCACTACCTTAAGAGATGAAGAACATTTTGTATATTTATTCGCCAAACACCAGACACAAACAGCCTCTAGTCTAGAGAGCTCACAATTTCAAGCCAAGAGCCAGTAACTAAGAAGGACGGGGAGAATACATTTGAGTGGCTTTTGGACAGACTTTTCTAATCATATTTACAATATTTAGAGTCTAAGACTATATTTACACTAAGGATGTTAAATATCAGGTAATTTACTAGTTGAGTAATCAATGGAATTTCCATCGACTACTCAACAGGCACTTCCGCATTCCTCCTTTGAAATGTACAAAAGCCCCAGCAGGAGGAATGCGGAACTCTGCATGCAGCCTGGGGTCAGCAGGA